AAATCTTGTGTAAAGTCGGTTACACAATCGAATGGGAGATCAATAAATGAATAATTGTTTGGTCACCTATATTAAGAAAGATGTATTTGATACAATTAACGATGAGATAATTATCTAACGTTTTCAAAATATGAAAACTCGTCAAAGACAATTGTAGAAAAATTGTTTTATCTTTACAAAAATTGTATCTTTTTAAAATATTTATTTGTATTTTATAACTTTTTGTTGAAGCTTATCTAATGAAAAAAAAAAAAAGTATGGTTATGATTGGTTTAATTTTTTTTTTTTTTTGTTTATATTTTGCTCCCGTCGAATGAAATTCCTGGATCCACCACGGAATATAAGTATTCTTTTAGAGTTCAATTAAAAAAAAAAAATCATATACTTTATCATATATAAAAGACTTAAATCTTTATTCACCAATAAGACCATACAATAGTCACTTTTTCTCGAGATATACTCCCTCATTCATATTTCTTTTCTAGAAAAAAGGATACACGTGTGAATGCAGAAGGTTCAAAGAACGTTGAAAGTTTTATGATAAGCATGCATCAGCATCCACCTCTTATTAACAGAACTATAAAAGCAAAGGCCACTAAGCGCTTCCTTTGTACTAACAAATCCAAACAAAAAGCGCTTCTAGATAGGAATAGCCTAATAGGACAACTCTTTAAACAAATAATCTTTTTCTAGATGTGAATGATTCCTAAAGCCAAATTTAATCCCATTTTCCCTCCACTTGTATGCCCCATATCTTATTTTAATTATTTCATCATATGCCAAAAGCACAATTGACCCTATCAATTTGATTCCATTCCCTTGATTTGACTCCTGCTTAACAATTAAACATTATTAGTTTTTATATATATATATATTAGATGGGTATTTTTAGAAAATTTGAGAAAATTATTGTTAGTAAAAAATAATTAATATTTTTTTTATCATCGGGGGTGTTCGGTCCAACTTATACGCATCTCAATTAATTCCTTAAGATCTTTATGTATTTTAACTATTTTTCAAATAATCAAAAACACTATTTAACTATTTAAATTTCAAATATTCAAGTATTAAATGTTTTGCATGATTGAAGAACTATGGGCTTCATAGAGACAATTAAAGCAATAAGAAAGGGACGTTTATTTCAATGTGTGATGCAACGTTTATAATGACTATACTATTACTATGGAAGCAATAACATATAATATATTTATTAATTAATTTTGTTTAAGGGTATCATTTTCTAAAGTAAATTTATAAAAAAATATATTAATCTAACAAAAAACACTTACACCTACCATATACTAAAAGTTTAAAATATTAACTGATTTAGGATGTTTCCCAAATAATTTTTGCCAACCTTTAACAATATGTAACCTCAAGCTATTACAAAAAATTCATGAGTTAGAAACAAATACAGAAACCTCATAAAAACAAATCAAAACAAGATTGAAAAGAATATTTCTTTGTCATAATTCGTGGTGGGATGTTTTGTTTGATTGTAAGGGTTTTGGTAACTTTTTTTCCAATCACAAATACAACAAAACTTCTCCATAGTTATAATGGTGTGATTGATTAATTTTATTATTATAAGAAAATTATAATTTAATAGAGGCGCAGTTACAAAAAAATTTTATTTTATAATTTATGTTTTAGTAGTATAGTATTAAGATTTCAATTTATGTTTAAATAGTATTAAGATTTCAATTTAGAGCTTCAATTGTCTACTTTTTAAACAAATAGAAGATCGTATTTTGAAACCAATAAAAGTAAGTGTTCTTGATGGAATTGTAAATACAATTGTCGTATGGTTAAATTGATGTGAAGTCACAAACAATTGCTAATTGTTTTAAGCATTATAAAATTAGGACTCCTGATGTCGATGAATTGCAAGTTATAAATAAAGTGGATGAGAAGAATGAAAAAGTCATTGTAGAATTTAGAGATCAGATTTGATAACTTTACTACACTAATCAAATGGATATTAATATTTTCCTAAATCATTCAAATGAGGAACAAGTCATGTATCCTTTAACTGAAAAAAAAATCATTGCTACAATTACACAAGAAGAGAAAAGAAATAATCATGAAGATGATAGTACGGAAACACAAAAAGTTTCGTGCCAAGAAGCTCCAAACATGCTTGAGAAACTATAAATATTTTAGTTTTAACAAGAACATGTCCATACTAGCGGGTAATGTACTCACAAGTTAAAAGATATGGTAATAACTTTAAAATATAAACCATTCCCTCAAACAACTTTAAATAAATATTTTATTTCATTTTAAACATTTAATGTAACAAATAATATATTTTTTTGCAATATACAAATAATTATTATTATGTGAAGGCAACTTTCTTTAAAATAGAAATTAGAAAAATTATAACTTATTACAATATGGAGTTTATTCTTATTATAATTATCTCAAGTTAGGAATAAAATTTTTTATGATTAGATAGAGTTTATTCTTATATAGACTATCATTATAGAGAGGTTTTACTATATATTCGAATAAAATTTCATTCACTTTCAAAAAATAAACAAATAAAAAAGGAAAAAAATACAAGATTTTTTTAACAAGTCGGTTGTTTATCAATCATGATTAAATAAAAGAGAAGTTAAAAAGGATTAAGAGAGAAGACAAATTAAAAAGATTAGGAAAGTAGCGAAGTTAAAAAGGACCAAGAGAAGGTTAATTTTGGAATAAAATAAAATATATTTAAATTTAATTGATTTGGGGCTTAAAAATAACACCACTCACCATACTATTCAAGCTCAAATCATTAAAGAGGCCCAATAAAAGCCCAACATCTGGAGAATATACTATGGATTCTTAACTTCAAACCATTAACAAGGCCCAATAAAAGCCCCTCATCTAAAGAAATACTATGGACTAAATCATCAACAAGGTCCAACAAAAGCCCAATACTAGGAATATGCTATGGACTCTTAATTTGTGAAAAGGAGTAATTTTGGACCAACCTTGAGGTTTGGCCTAATATTAGAGACCTCCGATGGTTTTAAAACTCTTACTCACCTCCGAAAACTTAGTGAAAATCAATTAAAATTGATGTAGGAAGACAAAGTGGACATTTAATATATTTTCCTTATTCTTACCATTCAAGGCCAACTTTAAAACTCAAATACTCATGGGATTGATGTGCCATTTTCATCACCACCTCCTCTAGCAACTATTATTAGTAATAGCGCAAGATAATAACTTATTGATGATGGTTTTTTTTTTTTTTTTTTTAATTTATTTTTGGTTGTTATCTTGCTTTGATTCTCTGTAATGACCCAACTCATTCCCAAATCGTTAAGCTAAGACTTGAAAATTGAATTTATAAATACTTGGAGACCCTACCCTTACAAGTTGGTTTTCAACAATAAGTTGTTCTCAATATGTACGTAAGATTCTTCTTCCTTCAAGTGTCATCAACAAATTGACTATTATGTAATTTTAGTAAAGAATTAAGGGTAATATAGGAAATTTTATGTTCGAAACAAGTCTAATGTCAAATTTAACATATATATTCCCCAACAATAGGTAAGATAAGCAAAAAAATTAGAACCATGGAGGTGTTAAAAAAATAAGAAAAAGTTGAAGGTTGATGAGTGAAATTAGCCATTCTAAAGATGTTCAACTCTAGGAAAGCCCAATTGATACAAAAGGGATAAAGCTCCATGATAAATATCACACTTGCATTCATGGAGATCAATCCACCTATAAGATCAAGCCAAACTTCATTTCCCACACATTAAACATTCATCATATCAACCAACCCACTTTATATAAAGAAACATAAACCCTTAAATAACTCAGGATTTTTTAGAGTCTAAAGCTCAGTATAAATTCCAAGGACTTAGAAAACTACACAAACATAAAATTCCACTGCTAATTGATTGCTCAAAAATCTATAATTGACTTAAATAGACGTCAAACCCTGTTTACGACAATTCTTCTGTTTTTTGAGATTACATAGTGAAAACAAAACTTTATGATAATCTTAGTGAGATTTGACTTTGTCAAAAATTCCGGCAAAGTAGTATATATAGCCAAGAGATATGTTTGAGAGTACCTTTTTTTTTTTTATACCAAATATGATGTAAATTTTGAGTTGCTAGATAAAAAAATTTTAAACGATCGAGATTCAATTCAACTTGCATGCTAATTACACTTTAAAAAACCGTACTTATATGGAATTTTAGTCATTCAAATAGATCAATCAAATCAAATAGCTCCAAAGTGTGTCCAAATTATTTACAAAAAAAAAAAACATATTAAGAAACATGAGATAATTACTTAAAAACCCTTTTTAAAGGTCAAATTTCAATTTGAACTTTTTTTCTTTGGCTTAGTAGATAAGACATTTCATCTAATTTATTTCCACTTTTACTATTTTCCCTCTAGCAGCTAGGTAAAGCTACTCTAGTGCTAAAGTCACTAGAGTTCAGTCAAATCTAGCGCTTGAGCAAGTTGACTCTAGCATTTTTTTTTTTCATTTCTTATTTTTAGAAAATTAAAATAACTCTTATATACATTTATTATTCATTTTTTAAAATAATATATTTTATTTCTTAATATAATTAGTTAATTTATTTGTTATCTTAAAGAAATTTTGATATTTAATTTCTAACACTAATTTGCAGAATAATTTAAAAAAAAAAAATTGTAATGACTCTAGTACTAGAGTCACGTGAACTCAAGGCATGCTAGAGTGAAGACATAAAAAATTTAGAGGATAAAATGTCTTTTATATAGTTTTCTCTTCAAACATAATGTGAAAATGATTTGGTACACTTGACATGTGACAATCTTGTTTAGTAATAGTGTTTTAGTGAAAACAAAAGTTTAGGATAATTTTTGGGTGGAATTTAAGTTAGGTCAAATATTCACACAATAGAAGTAGAATGAAAATGTAAAAAAGTGTTTTGGTATATATACATGACAAAAACAAAATGCTAGGCTAAGCAATCAACCTCAATAAAAACATATGACACTTAATCAAAACTCATAAGGGAAACCCAACATTATGTGGCTCCACTCTTCTATATATAGAGAAGTATATTAAATACATTAATTTCTTGTAATAAGATCACGGGCTTGAGTTTACATTTTCATTAGTATATTTAACCAAAATGTGTACAAGAAGGGAAATATAATTAAACCCTGTTGATAATTGAAATCAAAACATTAATCAGGCAAACTTATGTCGGCAAGATCATCTTCTAATGACAAGAACATTTCATCTAGACATGAAAGCTCGGTTCCAGTATCATCATCATCTCCATAGCACAAACTTTCAGAATTGTTCTCCCTCTCGTAAACTCGACATAGAACCCATTTGTAGCAATCCTAAAACCCATAAAATTAATTAATTAAAATTATCCCTTTTATCATACACATCAGTATTTCTTTCTTTTTTTTAAAATCATGACACGAGACTGCAAGAATACAATTGTTATAAAGAATTAAACTGAAGTTGGAAGATTTACTTACTAGTTTTGGATTTCTTTTTCTTTTGTAAGAAGAAGAATTGAATCCAAAGTCGCAGAGATGATATTCCTGCAAAACCCAACTGGTTTCTACACCACTTGGAGCTTTACCAATGAAGAACAAAAAATGTTTCTTGACTCCAATTTGTTTGCTGGCACTTGTGAAAATAGGTTGCTCAAAATCCAAATCCTTCCAATACCCATTTTCACTCACTCGATTCTCCATCATTTGGCTGAAGAAGTACCATTGGTTTCCACTGCACAACGCTTTTCCTGTTAAAACAATTAAAATATGATGATCATCAATAAATAAATTTCTTTTTTGAGAATTCTGCAAGCTTGACTTCGAAAGTGGAGCCCCTGCCAACCCTGTAATCTTTAGGAAGCAAGAAACAATGACTTTGGCCATGGGACTCTAACCTCAGAGCTGGCGGGAATAAACCATAGACCTGACCATCCGCCTAAACTCTTACGGATAATCATCAATAAATAGTATGAACACAGAATAGAAGTAATAAGCAAATTAATTGACGTTAAAACATACCATTAAGTTGCCAGGGGTCATGAAAATAAGGATCAAGAACAGGAATGATGTTGGGATGGCAAGGCAAAAGAGAGGCCTTGCGGTAGAGAAAGTGAAGAACAAGTTCTTCATCAGTTGGGAGGAATCTGAATCCAGGGGGAAGATTTACGCTGTCATCGCACATCTTTTAGTTGATTTTTTTTTTTTTTTTTGTGTAAATATGTTGAGGTTTTTTTTTTTTGGGTGGAGTTGCGATGATTTAGGGTTTGAATTTTAGGTTTGTTGTGTGTATATTATAGGGTTGAGGTAGATTTGAATATATAAAGTGAAAAAGGGCTGATTTGATTGATTAGAATTGAAGAAAATGGTTAAGTTTTGTGATATACATTCAAATGACGGATCTACATGAAGACTAAGATGTGCATCGGACAAAATAGAGTGCAACATCTACATTATTACAGTGACAACGATTGTAGGGTGAAATGTAATAAATGAGTATCATTTATTTATGTTTTCAATAATTCCGTGAAGTGATTTATTTATTTGTATGTTCTTTTTTCAAAAACAAAACACAATATTTAAACTGTTGGCACCAGAACGGCAACATATGAGTAGCAACAACGTAGAAGAAAAATCAACACAGTAGTAGACAAGCAACAGCAAAGAACAATGTCAAGGCATGCGACGACATTGTCTTTAAGATCAAGCTCCGGCCCACTTGGAAAATTTTGCTTGTTACCATACCCATGTGATACTCCTCTTTGTAAAGAGTTTTAAAAAATAAAACTTAAAAACTTTCCCATGTCAGATTGGCTATTATGGAATACTCTTTTATAAAAGAAATTATATATTAAACAGGCCCTAAATTACTTGTACTTTTATCTCATTCAAGATTTCTCATTTGTTATGTATCGGTGTATTGTTTTTGTATGTTACGTATATTGTTTTAAAATTCAAAATGGAATGAATAAGAATAAGATGTTGGAATTTGATGTTTAAGTGTAATTTCTACCTTGCTAGGTGATATATAGACAATTATCCAAGAGTATTTAACTCTTTATAAGATATTAAAAGCCATATAATAAAACAGCCTTAATTAAATCGAGACACGTAGGTCGCAAAAAAGTATGCTGATAATTTTATTGATTTTTTTGAGCTATGAGAGTTTGGATTTCAAGTCTCTTTGCATTATCATATTTAAGATGTAATTTTTTTATTCGTTTATTCATCTTAAAACAAGGGTTCAAGTTAATATAAAAGGTTATTTTTATACTTGATAACTTATCAATTCTCTAAACAACGATATCAATAATAAAAAATTAACAATTTAAATCTACTGTTTAGTCAAGAATCTACGTAAAAAAAAATAAAATCCCAATTCTCTATCAATATATTCTTGTTTAATTAATTAAAGTAAAACAATGACAGCAGGTTAAGGATGAAGTTAAGACAAATTTGAATATCATTTTCTTCATAAGAAGCACAACAAGTTACAAAATTAGATAAACCGTCTTAATTATATCATCAAACTCATCCATGCCACTTTTATTAATTATTTAATTAATTCTAATATTAAATCATCTTAATGATTGGATCGTAAAGATGTCATACATAAATATGTACACCAAAATTAATATATTTTACCTCATTCATGTTGATCTCAATATTTCATGAGGCTTACTTATCATCCTAAGATGATGTAGCAGTGAATTTTAACTATTTTTATCTTCTATAAACACCTACACTTTCATGTGTTAGTTAATAGAAACATAATTTTAATCGTATTGAAGGCTGCAAAATCTTTCCTTTTGACGTTTTAATTAATCAACGATATAAACAATGGTTCGGATTTAAAAAATAAAATTAAAAGAAGTCTTCATGTTGATAATTGGCATTGGATAAAAACAGTTCACTAGTTTTGTTTAACGTTAAAGAAGGCTATTTTTACAGCGGCATGGCAGACAATAAACTTTTATCTTTTATATTGGACTGATAATAGACAGTTAAAAATAAATAAACAAGTATATGTTCACTCGCTCGTAGGGACGGATCCACTAAGGGTTGAGTTTGAAATTGGAAAGTTTTAAATATACCATGTTGCTCTATGTTTTGACACTAACACCTATTTATTTTATTTAATGAAAATAGTCTAAAATCCAAGCATTATCACCACGTTTATTTTATTTTTTTCTTTTGAAATATATTCTACACTAAATTTTTTTAATGAATTAAAAAGTCAAATTTTCACAGATGATAATATTTGAAATTTTTTCCATCTTGTCCCCACTGAGAAAAAATCCTGGCTTTGTCAATGTTCAATTTTTTTAAGATTCTAAAACTTCTTACTATATATTGCTAAAATGCTTTTGGTTTTGGATTAAATTAACAACTTATAAGAAAGTGGGATGGTGAAATAATGTAGTATGACAAATAATTGATGCTTTTCATTATCCAACTCCTTTTGTGCAAGTTGCGTTTGCATGTTGAATAATAATAGTGGTGTGAATTAGAATTGGAAACCTGGCAAATATGGTCCTCCTTTTGATTATTACCCATAACCAAACATTAAGAAAGAAACAAATAAAGTACAGCAAAATCTAATTCCATTTACGTCTGCAATCAACAACTCATAAAGCTTCCCTTCTCATTGCTTAACGTCTTATCATCACAACTCACTATTAGGTTTTGTATAAGCTCAAATTTATATCAAATAGGCCCTTGATATTTTAGTCAATTTTTCAATACTCCCTGTCATTTTGAAACTTATTTATGACTCACATTATTGTTATTATGCTATTAGTCATTTTAATTAGGGTTTTTATTATTAATCTTGAAAGAGAGTTTATATATGTAAGACCCATATCAATGGTTTTATAAGTTAGTGTATGATGATAAATATTCAATTTAATAATCACCGATCATATTAATTGTAAAGATGAATGAGAAGAAAAAAAAATGTATAGATATAGTACTATAAATACATCGACTTCAATATGGTAGAACTATCCTAGTCTTGTTGTGGAGTTCTGGTTTTTATTTATCTTTTAACTTTCTTGCTAATAGAGAATTTTTGCAGATTTAATGAATGACTTGATTGAAATTATTTGGTACTTGTCCTCCATTGTTCTCAAACAGGGTTTTCCTAATGATAAAGGAGGTAAAAGATAATTTTGAAACTACAAGAAGTTAGTTTTCGTTTGGAATAAATTTTAGGGTAAGTTAGATAATTATCTTGGATTAAAACCATGTCTAATTCTTTTGATTTGACTAGAAATATCTAAAAAGCATCCTCTAAAATTTTGACTGTTGACTTTCGAAATTTAACGTGTCAAAACAAATCAGGAGTTAAACCCAGCAAATTTAACACCATATCAACAAATATCTTTGACAATACAAGAGCATCGTTGATTATCATTCGACACATATCTTTGAAACCACAAAAGTATCTGTGTTATGAAACTGAACCTGAGGGATCCATATGGTATTTTTCCCTTTTACTAAAGGTGGAATGGTAATCCCCTATGTAGTTGGTACTTGGTAGGTCACTTACAATAGTTGAAAATTAGACATGTGTGATAGCTTAATTTTATCATAAAATGGGCTTTTGACATCCACAAGAATTCTAGAAATTACTGGATGATAGTGGAGTGTTGCTACTTAATTGCTATAGAGAATTAAAGGGTTTGAAAGCTTCTTCTTTTTTTTTTTTTTTTTGTGACATTTGTTCAACTTTTTTTCTTTTATGTGTCTACCTCTAATGTATGGATATGTTTCTCTTTCTCCATTTTCATGATTTTACTCTCTTTTTATCGCCAGCCAAGATGGAAACTTTGGTGAGTTGTCATTGCTTCACTATCCCACCTCTAAGCTTCAATTTTGTCACTTTGTTTCATTAATTTTTATTCTTTTGCTATTGTAAGTAAAAACTAGGATTCTATTTTAAAAGAAAAGTGTTATTATGATCATCAAAGTAATCTAAAATTCAATTTAATAGATACAAATTCATACAATAATACAAATAATATACAATACGTTAAAATAAAATTCATCTGTTTTATTAAGAAAGCATCAAAAATTCCTCTATAATTACGAGGACCCTTAATATCATTTTCCCCCGTACAATTAAGTCATTCTCTTACTAGAATTATGGATGTAGTAATTTAGGAGGGGTAAATTAAATTAATAAAAATAAATAAATAGAATTAAGATTGATGATTACATTCATTTTAATTAATTAATATGACATAATTATGGTTATTCTTGAGTATTTATATGTTAAAAGCGTTGTACAATAGCTTTGTTATTAACATAGAATTAATATATCCTTTTTGCATGATATAATAAAGTTAAACTTCAATTTTTGTTTAAGGAAAAAAATTTAGGATTATTTGCTTAAACTTCCTCTCTTACCAGAATTTTTACTTTAATTATGAACATAGTCTTATATTTAATATAAGAGGGGTTAATTAAATTAAAAATCACACTTAAAATTTGTAATAAAAACAATAAACATTAAGATGATTATATTCATTTGTATTATATGATAGCTTTTATAATCTATAACATAAAATATATCATTTTCTCAAGATACAATTAACTTAAAATTTATTTATTTTTTTCCTTAACAAAAAACCATTGTTAACATAAATATAAATACAATACCATTTTTAGATGATATTTTAAGAATTAAACAAACTTTAAGCTAAGAAAAGTTTAAAGCTTGAATTTATATCAACTAAGGGGCTAGTACTCGAGAGAAAGGAAATTAGGATTTTAGAATTTTTGTTAGAGAAAGAGGGGGAAGGTATGTTTAAAATGGTGAGTTTTATGTTTTGGTAATTCAAATGAAAATTATTACACAAGACAAAGCATTTTCAAATAATTTATATTAAAAATATTTTTAATAAAAATTAATTTTTATACTTTGAGACACCACATAAAAATTAGTATAAATTAAATTAATTATCAGTAAAAAATTCACAATCAATCAAAATCAGTATAGTTTCTATTTTCTTGTATGAGAATTAATTCTCTCTCTCTTTTTTTTTTTTTTTTTTTTTTTTTCAACATATATCATAATTGACGAAATATGGAATGCTTTTTATGGATTTCCTTAAAGCTCTGTTGGCTGAAATTAAGTAGTAATTAGAGTTTCAATCAATCACTTAATTCAAGTGATTGATTGAACAATTACAAGGATTTTTTGTATTTATTACTTTCCTTTTTTACATTTACAAAGATGTATAAATTGGCCAATTGTACAGCCTTACAATATATTGAATATACAAAT